TCCTTCGCAATTCAGCTTAGCTCTCAGCTGCAAGTAAGGATGATTAGCACACCCCACTTATACGAAGATTATTTCTATTATTCCCCAGCACGTTTGTCGGGTGTTGAATTGGATGACGAAGATCTGGAAGAAGTTGAAAAACTGGAAGAACTGGAGTCCGCCAAAGAACTGGATCTCTGGACCAGAGTTAAAAAAGCCATCTTTGATCTCGTTCAGAGAATGGGTTTCTTTGGAATTCTTGTTTGTGCTTCGGTAATACTGCATCGTATATACTTACCTGTGCCTATATAGTTTTGTTTTATATACCTTCGTTGATGCTGGATAATCCTATGGAGATTTTATTTTTGTGGAGGTGGCCAATCCTCAAATGGAACTTGAGCCCTGATCAACCGATCGAGGCCCACATGCATGGGTGCGCAAGTCATCTCAAGTTGTATTAGCACTGTTTAAGATTGCTTCAAAGATCATAATTTAACATACATGATACGAGTTAGTTACAGTTTGTTGTAAGTTATTACAATTTAGTTATACAGGAAGTTATTACAAGTTTTTTAGCCTGCAAGTTATTTAGTTTGACGGTGTCAACTGTCAAGCTTAGATACAGGTGTTAAGAATGTGCAACTACCAGAAAAATATAAGCACAACGTCGACGTTTCAAGCAAAGGCTCTCGTGGTGTTCATGAGTACCTATAAACATACAGTATTTCTTGTTATAAATCTCTATCTTTCATCTCTGACATTATACGTAATATTTATTTGTTTAAACTTGAACTTATGAACAAGTACGTACAGTATATATACTTGTCTCGTATAATCTCTGTGCTACATAAGTTAAAAACTGTCACAAAATCGAAGTTTATTAAGTAATTATTAGTGAATACCCACTTATTTCTAATAATGTACGAATTATCACTCTTACTAGCACGACTAAGGTAGCTCAAAACTAATAAGCCTTAGGGTTTCCATTATGTTCGCTTGCCAAGTAATACTATTATAGTCTTTTGTGTACATAATTCCCTTTTTCTATTGGCCAAATAAATTTGATTTGATCCTTGACACCTATGCTGTTTGTTATTGTCCCTGGCACAGAATATATAATTATTGTTTGTCCAATCCGCTCCGCGTTTTATCCGCATATTCGCTCTGTCCATCCGTTCCGCCCCGTATCCTAATCCGCTTATATACTTTTGTTTTAGATTCCTAATCCGTTATTCGACCTGGCCGGTATTACCTGTGGTCATTGTTTGATACCTTTCTGGACTTTCTTTGGCGCAACATTGATTGGCAAGGCGATCATCAAGATGCATTTACAGGTACAGTATTCTGTGGAGTTATGGTCATCAGGGATAGAATGATCCTAACCAGGACTGGTAGGGTGTCCATCGATCCTTGGCCATATAGTATATAGAGGATATTACACGGCGGCGCGAAGATATGACTTTTATCTTTGAGTGGTGAAAACAATATTTTACGAACGAGCGCAGCGAGTGAGTAAAATATTGTTTTTAACACGAGAAGATAAAAGTCATATCTTCAAGCCACTGTGTAATGTTCTGTGAAAAAAAGTCATATCTCCAAGCCACTGTGTAATGTCCCAAGCAAAAAATTGTATAAATACTAAAAGTCACGTGATCGATATCTCCATTAGTGAAGATATGGAAAGTATGTCACTGTGTATTTCTCAGTATCTCACTCTCTACTGTATAATAAAAGGTTTTCCTAAAACTGGCGTACACACAAACCGCGAAAAGTTTTGAGCAGGTTCCCATGAGGACGCATTCAACGACCCCTAGACTTTACATACAATTATGCTAATAAAAAAATCCTTTTTTGTTTCTTTAGAAAACTTTCGTCATTTTATCATTCAGTAAAACATACATAGAAACTGTTCTTAAGTTAGCTGGGTAAGTTTAATGTTGTCATTATACTCCTTATGTACTGATGAATTTCGTGATTTTGGCCATCAGCTATCCACCTTGTAAACTGATGTCTAATACTTCTTATTTTTTAGCGATATTCCATTTATCGGCCCATATATTCAATCACCATTCAATAAAGCTTTAGAGATGCAAAGGAATAGTCTACGTCGTAAGCCTGGTGAAACGACTGTAAAGGTAAAGCCCAAACCGTCTGCTAGCGTAGGTGTACATAGTGACATTAGACTGATTTAAGCCTGGTTTTCGTATGGTTGTAACTGTCGCGAACATGTCGTGAAGTGTTTGTCGTGAATGAGTTTTATGCTTGTTTACATATGGTTATAACTGTCGTGACACTTTCGCAAGTTAATTTCGTACCCAGGGATCCTACAAGCATGGATTGTAAAATAACTGGATAGGAGACTTTCTGACGTCATTGACTCATCCTTGTCGAAAAACGTGACGTCACGCGTATTGCGAAATTGCGAATATTGCTAAAGTTCTCAGCATTTTTGTTGTTTCGCTATATTTTTCGCTTTAAAAGAGTAATATTGAAGCATAAACTGGTCTAATTGTTTTAAAAACATGCCTAAGCCACGACAAAGTATTCAAGGTAAATGTTTTCCGTCTTTGTTTTGTATTTTTTTAGATTTGTAGCTACGAAATTGGCATCACAAATTTTAACGAAATGTACGATGTATTTTTCACTATTTAGTGCTTGAAATATTTGCTAAAATTGACTGGGAATATTTAGAGTTTTCATCTTAGAATGGCGTGGTTATATTTATTTGCTCTTTGACTAAAATGTTTTGCTGTATTATTGCTAAACATGCCGTTTTTGAGAATTTGGTTTGCAACTAGGTTGGGACATCCAACCACGCCATCAGCCCATTGAAAACATTAGGTCACGTCAGGTAGTTTCCTATCCATTTATTTTATTATCCATGATACAAGCAGCTGGCGGCAGTTTTAAAAAGATAAACTGTCGCCACGCTGTCGTATTTCTGTTTCCATTAAAACATAACCGCCACGACACGTTTTTTAGCCTGTCGCAACTGTCGTCGAGATAGAACTCGAGTCTATCTCGACGACTCTGTTGTAACTGTCGTGAACTGTCAGGGTACGAAATAACGGCCGATCAACGATCAATGATCCGCAGGAAATTGCTTTTGATCGGCAAACAAGCAGGGTTGCCGATCATCTTGATCGACAAGAACCATTGTCTCAAAAACATGGTTAATGTCGTTAACGAACACCGTGCAATACTACGGCATTATCACAGAACATACAAACAGAACGTATCCTATACTGATTGACCAGATTTTCATTGACCAGCGGAAAATCATGACTGCTGATCACCATGATCGGGAACCTTGGAAACGTTATTTCGAGCCCTGACTGTTGCCAGCGTGTCGCGACAAGACTTTTCTTCATGTTTGTGATGTTACTCTGAGTGTATATCCACACCGGGCGAGCTTGAAAAATATGCCCGGCCACGGTGGGAATCGAACCTACGACCTTTGGAATACTAGCCCAATGCTCTGCCAACTGAGCTACACGGTCAGGACGGTTCGAGTAAGTATCGAAGGAACTAGATTCTGTTCCGAAATATCACTGACTCGAACCGTCCTGACCGCGTAGCTAAGTTGGCAGAGCATTGGGCTAGGATTCCAAAGGTCGTAGGTTCGATTCCCACCGTGGCCAGGCATATTTTTCAAGCTTGCCCGGTGTGGATATACACTCAGAGTAACATCACAAACATCATATTCACACTTGAGTACACAACACCAACACAGAAAAAAACTTTTCTTCATGTTTCCATTTGGTCGCGAACACTGCTCTGACGACAGTTACAACAAGTTCGCGACATTTACGACCATATGTGGAAACCAGGCTTTAGCTCTGAATCTTGAGCTGAAATTGAGGCCGCGTCGTCGTGTTTGCCTCGTCGTCTTATCTAAATCTGTCTTTTAACACCAGAAAGCTGCGCATTGTGAGGGATTCAACAACCTGAAAAGTACAATTAAAATTCGACGTTTCGAGCGAAGGCCTTTCATCGGGGAGTTGGCCTTCTCTGGTAGTTGAATGACTCTCAATCCGCAGATTTCTGGTATAAAAGTAAAGTCTGTTCAAACGAAGATGAGAGTTGGTAGGCGAGAGGTCATTCCCAGGTCAAACGAGAACAAGAGTTGCATCAGAGTTGAGAAGCGAGAGTTTGCATGGGAGTTTTCTCAACTCTCATGTCCCGATCAAACGAGAACAAGAGTTGATGAGAGTTGATTGGATATTGCCGCGCGCATATCGCAAAAAATCTCATCAACTTTCATCGAAATTTGAACGAGCTCAAACTAAACTAATTTTATTTGTACTGGATAGCTCTGTCAGTTCTAAACTGTTCCCCTTGGAATCATTGTTTCCTACCCATGTTTCACGAAGGTGGGCAAACCAGGAAACATTATTTCCAATCCATGTTTCCTGAAGGTGGGCAAATTTAGAAACATTGTTTCCTATAGCCATGTTTCCTGAAGGTGGGCAAATCCGGAAATTTTTATGAAATGCGTGGATTAACGTTGTTTTCGCAACAAAAATTGCACTTGCATGGGAAACAAAATTGCGAGGGCGTCTCTTAATTCTTGATTATATTCTTGATCGCTTTTTTCAAAATACCGATTTATGTGCCCTCTGTATATTTTGTCGTTCGAAACCTTACTCTTTAAAAAACCAGTGCATCTGCTTGAATTTTGATGGCCCTTTTAGAGAGAACAGTTTAGAACTGATATAGGTGCAGTACAACTAAAGTTAGTTCAGTTGAGCTTTCACCCTGTAGTATAACACTGGAGCAATAAAGAATAGCCCTCGCTAGACCTCTAGGGCGAACATTTTAGAACTGATACAGCTATCTAGTACAATTAGAGTTGGTTCTGGATAAAAAAGGAATGGCCCTTCCTGAACCTCTAGGGAGAAAAGTTTGGAATTGATAGAGCTACCCAGTATAAATGAAGTTAGTTTAATTTAATTTAGGTTTCCTCCTGTAGTAACACCGGATCAATAAGAGACGATCCTTACTGGACCTCTAGGAAGAACATTTTAGAACTGATAGAGCTATCCAGTATAAATAAAGTTAGTTTAGTGTAGGTTTCCTCCAGTAGTAACACTGGATCAACAAGAGATTATCCTTACTGGACCTCTAGGAAGAACATTCTAGAACTGATAGAGCTATCCAGTATAAATAAAGTTAGTTTAGTTTAGGTTTCCTCCTGTAGTAACACTGGATCAATAAGAAATGATCCTTACTGGACCTCTAGGAAGAACATTTTAGAACTGATAGAGCTATCCAGTATAAATAAAGTTAGTTTAGTTTAGGTTTCCTCCAGTAGTAACACTGGATCAACAAGAGATGATCCTTACTGGACCTCTAGGAAGAACATTCTAGAACTGATAGAGCTATCCAGTATAAATAAAGTTAGTTTAGTTTAGGTTTCCTCCTGTAGTAACACTGGATCAATAAGAAATGATCCTTACTGGACCTCTAGGAAGAACATTTTAGAACTCATAGAGATATCCAGTATAAATAAAGTTAGTCTAGTTTAGGTTTCCTCCAGTAGTAACACTGGTTCAATAAGGAATGGCTCTTACTGGACCTCTAGAAAAAACAGTTTGGAACTGATAAATTAAGCTATCCAGTATAAATAAAGTTTGGTTTAGGTTTCCTCCAGTAGTAACACTGGACCAATAAGAGATGACCCTTACTGAACCTATAGGAAGAACATTTTTAGAACTGATAGAGCTATCCAGTATAAATAAAGTTAGTTTAGTTTAGGTTTCCTCCTGTAGTAACACTGGATCAATAAGGAATGGTTCTTACTGGACCTCTAGAGAGAACAGTTTGGAACTGATAAATTAAGCTATCCAGTATAAATAGAGTTTGGTTTAGGTTTCCTCCAGTAGTAACACTGGATCAATAAGGAATGGCTCTTACTGTACCTCTATAGGGCGAACAATTTGGAACTGACAGTCAGAGCTCTGTATAAAAAAAGTTACTGTATGATATTTATATCCCGTCTTTGTCTACCTTACATAGAAAACCAGTGCATTGGCTTGGATCTTCGAGAAAGTGGTTCTTCTGATGGTTGCGTATTTCTTGCTATCGATCATCAACTCCATGGCACAATCACATGACAAGAGACTGCAGGAACAGAAGAGAGCTGCTCCACGATCCGTTGTCAAAGCACAGTAATGGTAAATTATTGTAGAAAATTTAAGAATATTCTCGCCACGCATGTGAATTCAGCTAATAAGCCAATTCAGAGTCTAGACCCGCGCGTCCAAATGACACGTTCTTCTTTGGGATATATTGCAGTTGGGCTACAGGTTGTAATAAAAAAACGAGCCCTAATTTAGAAATGAAGCTATTGTTGGAATTTGAATGCGTAGCACTGTGCTAAACCCACGCGTGCGTAAAACAGAACAGAAGTGAATTTTATGCATGATGAAGTTATTTAAAACCTAGCTTGTTTTCGTCCAACATATGAAATATGTGCTGATTAATTTAACGCTGCGTGGAAAACAGTAATTTGACAATTTTTGTGCAGTTACTGTATGCTCCTTCATCAGGGCCGTAGCTAGACGCGATAATTGGGGGGGGGGGG